GGTCTGAGAGCCCCTAATATTTCGACGTTTAAGGCGACCTCCGATAACATTTACCATTTTTAGGCAGATTCCTCACCAGTAATTGGTCCAAAGCCATTTGAGTTTTGAACTAAATACTACGTAAATAGATGCGTTGGAATCGGCTTGAACACCACTTTCCAATGCAAAAAAAATCACAAAAGACGAATATGTTTTGCAAAAGATACTTCATATTCTTTCTTGTTGCAATCTTTGTAGGTCAATCAATCTCTGGACAGTGTTGTACTTTCTTCTTATTCCAGGCGTATTTTGGTCATAAATTATTCATATACAATAGGGAATGTGTTTTCTACTGAAATCTAGTATACTTGTAGTTTGACTCCCTATAAGGGCTGGGTAGAAAGTGGAGGCCCCTCTATAGCACCCTATAGTAACGGCACAAGTCTCTGTAGTGCTGTATAGCACAAGCTTACACCCACACAGTGCTGTGGAGCACTGTGGGGCGCTAGGGCATCTAGCCAAACTTGGCGTGTAACTATGGGAAACTATGATATTAGCGGAAGCACTATGCCTGTCTACGTGGGAAAATCAGGTTTTGCTGATGTGCAATGGTCTTCATTTTTATATGGATGACCCTCGTATATTGTCCTCTAGTCTGTTGGGTATGGAGCGCTAATGGGTGGGCCGCTAAGTGGGGTGTTCTCGATTTCGCAGGTGAGCAGGTTATGCAACTGTTCAATGTTCTAAAGTGACAGTCCTTTTTCATTAGGCGGAGGTCCAGTCGAGATTGGCAGTGGTATGGGTGGCCTTGCGTACTCGTGGGTTCTTGGCCGAAGACAAAAGCGGGAATTAATCAATTTCCGACCTCATAACGTTTCGTTGGTTGGACTTGGCAGTGCGTCGTCTGAACTATTTTATGTGCGATATTCGGCTGACTGCGCATAGCTTCCTTGCTATGGTTTGGGTGGATCGGCTTCAACGGAGGTAGCGCCTTCGGAGCAAACCTCCGCGCCATTTTCGCAGTTTGGAATTCGATGATAGCCGCCGCGTTTGGAGGGATCGTCTGGTGCTTGCTGGATTACCGAATCAACCGGCGCTGGAGTATGGTGGGCCTTTGCTCTGGAACTATTGCCGGTCTGGTGGCAGCAACCCCGTCTTCGGGATATCTGCATCCATGGGCGTCTGTCATCGTCGGCGTCGTATCTGGAGTTTTGTGTAATTTTGCAACGAAGTGTAAGTTTTAGTTCCCGGGGTCAGCATCATAGTTCTTATATATTACAGTGAAATTTCTGCTCCATGTCGATGACGCATTGGACCTTTTCGCTGAACACGCCATAGGTGGAATTATTGGACTCCTGTTCAACTCTGTCTTCGCCTCTTCAACGATCATGGCAATGGACGGCGTGACCACCGCCGTTCCCGACGAATGGGTAAAGCAGCTGTATAAACAATTTGCTTACATCTGTGCTACGTCCGCCTATACTTTCGTCTTCACCGCCCTTATAGCCAAGACCGTGGACGCCATTCCCGGTTTGAGCCTGCGGTGTACGAAACAAGACGAGATCCTTGGTATGGATGAAGTCGAGGTACGCCAAATGTCGCACCGTAACCAAAAGTCTCCCTCACATGACAACACAGATTGGAGAGTTCGCCACGGATTATATTGAAATTCGCCGGGACGTCACAGACAAAACATTCTTTTTGGAAGAGTTGAAGAAGCGAAAGTCATTTGTCGTGAAGGCCGAAATGCATGAGCTGCCAAATCTTTCCTCTAAAACCCCACGGCAGAACAACAAGCGAATTATAGTCCTCACC